TGAAGCTAGTTATTTTAAAGGAAAAATATGGTAAAGAAATAAAACGGTAATAGAAAATAAGCTGGTAAACTTCATGTGTAGTGTGTGTGGGACTGTTTATAGAGTGAATTTGCTTCATCATGAGACATAATTTACGTCAAGTCTCCTTTGTGCTTGTATGGTGGAAATTTTATATTAATTTGCAAAGTTGAAAAAGGGACTCTACTCACTTAGCAAGGTTCAATGTATTGATATTTTGTGTATGGACAACTCTTTTTTTTTTTTTGTTTCATACTTTGAAAGGGGTCCTTCACAATGGTCAAAACATTAAAATTATCTAACTTCATTTTAGCATATCAATGACCCTAAAAACTGAAGGCATATAAATAGATATATAGGGTTTAGTTTTATTAGGCAATCTAATGGTGTTAAGCCCAAAATTAATTTATAGGAAGGTAAAAAAGTGTGTCCGGAGACTGAGGGTTCAACTTGACCTACTTAAATAGACACTTGCAAAAACTTGTGGCTTTGAGTGTTGCTTCCAAGGGAGTTTTTCTGGAGTGGGCTACCTAACCACACTAGGATCGATAGAGACACCAAAAGAGACATGGCTAATTAAAGGTGCATGGTCTTCTATTCAATGTAAATTTGTTAACATGTTGTGGCGGAGCAGACTTTCATCCTTATAATTAAATTACCCTATTTCTATTTCTAGGGCTTGGGTACCTGGGCCTTGCCCTACCTGACTCATGTTTATTTACATGTGTTTCAATAGTTACTTCACATGATCCTTCACCTTCTTCCATCCCTTAATTTCCTCCTTGTGACTAATTAGTGATTTATGTCTGAACAACCCACGCACCTCTTATAGGCCATAGCTAAGTACGTAGTGAGTAGCTAATATTTATTTCTTCCTTGGGTATTAGTTTTATAAAGATTTTTGGGTGACGTTCAATTAGACCTTGTGAATTTCCTTTTCCTACTCGATCGAGGTAGATCACACGCTGTATAATCACTCGATGAAGGTAGATCACACGCTATATAATCAAGTCAAGGGAACAACCCACTGTTCGTCCCCGATTTCTGCAGGCATATCAGACTAGGGGTGAGTACTATTCCGTTAAATTCGAAAATTTCGGTCTTTATAATTAGAATTTCGATTAATCGAATTATTCGAAATTTTTATTATTATATGTAATATATAATATATTGAAATTTGATTTCATAATATATATTTTATAATATATTATATATTATATATATATAATAGAGTATATATTATTAAAATCTAGTTTTAATCAAAATAATCGAAAACCGAATTAGAAATTTCAGTTTCGGTTATTTTGGTTTTTCTGAATTTCAGTTTTGGTTCGATTTTTATTTTTTAGTTTGATTTTTAAAAATTCGGTTTATTCGATTCGTTTTTCAACTGAATAAATCAAATGCTCACCCCTACATCAAACGATTTGCCTATGTCTTATAACTTGTAAGGTTGCACCACCAAGTATCCAGCCATGATTCAAGGGGTCGAATCTTCAACTCTTTATAAAGATCTATTTGCGTTAAGGTTTTTAAAATCGAACCAAACAACGAACCGATCAAGGGTCCAGTTCTCAGGTCGAATGGTTCGACTATTTGAATCAAACCATGGTTTTCAAAATTGGACCGGACCAGACAGTTAGATCGGAAAAACAGGGAACCGATCAGGTGACCAGTTCTGTTTTTCCCCAAAACTGGATTTTTGCAAAAAGCCGTTGATTTGGTCAGCAAACCGCTGACCCAAGCGATTGAACCATTCGAACCGTTAAACAATTTTGACCATTTTTTATTTTTTTTGTTAGAACGGGCCGACCATTCGATTCAAACAGTTGGACCGTTCGACCCGAGAACCGGACCCCTGACCGGTTCAGTCTCCGAGTAGGTTTTAAAAACCTTGAATCAAAGGGATGACCCATTTTGACAAAAAAAAATTAAAAAAATAAAAGAATAATAAAAAACGGCCAAAACCATTAGATGGTTTGAACGGTTCAAACACCCGAATCACTGGTTTACTGACTGAATCAACGTTTTTTGGCAAAAAACGATTCTGGAATAGAACATTAACCGATCACCTGACCAGTCACCTAACCGGTTCCCGATTTTTCCAATCTGACCATCCGGTTCGGTCTGATTTTAAAAACCATGGTTTGTGTCATCTTCTTCACCTTCAGTAACCAATAACTTAATTAAACGAAGAGAAGGGGCGGAGGAAAACAAGGACGAACAAGTTCATCAATTCTTCTCGATCAAAAGAAATTAAAAGAAAGAATTCCTTGCGATGCATGCACCTTGGCAACACAAGAACCCAAAGCATTCGAGCTTTCTAGACTTAAATATCTAAATGCATATATAATAAGAATACAATGGCTACAGTTACAAATAGGGGTGTCGATTGGACTGGATTTAGTCATCCAATCCACTCCAATGTGAGTCCATTATAAATGGACCAGGTCCAATCCAATCCAATGACTTTTCTGAAGCAATTTGAACCAATCCAATTTAATGTTTGGACCGTCCAATCTGTTCAAATTCATTTTGATTTAAATTGGTTTCAACCTAAATCCGGTTCATTAACACATATATTCTTATTTTATATAAATAAATCAGATATTAACTTAATCCAACCCAATCCAATATAAATTTGTTATGAACGGGCCGGGTCTAATCCAATGTCTTATCGGTCCGTCTAATCCATTCAAATTGATTTTGAATATGTTCCCTCATCATGGTTTATATATATACATATATGTAAGTGATGAGATGCCTAGTTTTGCTGCCACGAATCCATTTATGCAGTATTAATTGACCCACCACTAACTAGACAACTAGTATTTTACATACTAAAAGTTTGGCTATATGATTAATTGGATGATCCAGACTATGCTTTTGGTTTAAATAATCAGTCTATTAGATGATGAAAATTAAAAGATGGCATTAGAGGTCTAAAAAGAAAATATAATCATATAACAGTGAGGTAGCTAGTTAAAAGGTTTTCTGATATTTCTTTTTTTTATTATTATTATTTATGCATGTGTTTTGTTAGACACGTATGAGATAGATGGCAAATGAGAAGAGAAAATAAATTTCTGTGGACATCCTTGTTGTAGTGTAGCATCTATATGTGCTAGTTAGCTTAATTAAATAATGCTCATAGGAAGAATGGGTTCTTCATGGAGGTCAAATTGGAACTTAGCTTAGGACAAGATATTTGTGTACTCTACACATACAGAGAGAAACTTTTATTTAACATTTTGTCAACCACCGCTGCTACTATAGTGCTATATAGGGGGAGGGGGGACTTGTATATATAAATTTAAGGGGTTTAAAAGGAAAGATGGATGGCCAAGGTTGCCAGCTTTTTGTTGGGGATACGAAAAGCTATTAATCTTTTGGGTTGGCTCGAAATTGTAGGGCCTTTATGGCAGTTTACAACTTTAGATGCAGCGAGAGAGGAGAGGGTCGACGGAGCTGTATATCCCCTATCCTTCCTTTCAGCTTTTTCCTTCCTTTCCTTTCTTTTTATAAGCTATGGTCCTATGGATTGGCACTGTCTCACTCACATCACCAGTCACCACGAGCTTAGGACGGACGAGAGAGAAAGAGAGAGAAAGGCCATCATTGCTAAAAACCAGATAATTCACTGGCATGGGCCACCATGATTCAAAAGGGAGTGTCACATGTCACAGCACCTCCCCGTTAAGATACCCTCTTTCATCTTCCAAAATCCCATGGCTAATCATCTCTCCTCCCCTGCAATATCGAGAGAGATGAGCAGTGATGAGATTAATGGGTGCTAGAGAAAGAGGGAATGTCATGCTTTTAATTGCTGAACGCCGAACATTGGAATAGAAAAAAAGGGAGATGATTAGCTATGAGATAGTAGGTGATTGAGAAAGGAAAAGTTTATTTTTTGAATGATATTGCTGAAGGCCGGATATGATTAAATATGGCATTTTGGGAGTGAAAGGGAGGGAAAAAAGAAAGCTGTTGCTCTCTCTCTCTCTCTGTGCGTGTGTGTGTGGTTTGCTTGCTCAGGCGCACTATTTTTGGTTTGTGATGAAGTCCATCATTCTGAACATCAAATCCTAAAGTTTTTTACTAAGATGAAAATGATCAAAACAACTATTAATCCATTATATAGCATTTTTTTTTCATGTGAATGATTAGTAAATTTCATCATAGCACCTTAACCCTACCCCACCAGAATTATATTCACCTTCAAAAGTTTTGATTAAATTATTGGTATTTTCAAATAAAACAACTACAAAGTTCAGTTCAATCTCCTGAATATCATACAATGGAAAACATGGACTCTCTATACTGTTACTGTATATCACAAGCTCATGCCTTTTCTTTTCATCTTTCAACGTAGATATTCGTGAGAATAAAGAAGATAATTTGTAAAAATAAAATGAAGGGATTGATTTTATTTATGTAATTGCTGTTAGCATTATTTATTATCAAACTGGGAGAATTCTAGTGAAGACTCAGTATGATGAGAGTGGAACAGTTGAGCAACATAAAGCTTCGGGCTTCCCTTTCATGGCTATTTTCACAGAAAATAAAAAACAGATAAAAACCATAAATCATGTGAAGACTAGAGATGCTCAACAATGCGGCTCCAAACGGTTCCCCAAATCTCGCCACCAATTCCTCCAGCACACTACTGTTCATCCAAAATTTATTTCTTTACTAATAAGAAGTTAGACTTAAAAAAACAGACAGAAGTCAGAAAACCCAAATCCGAGTTTTTCGCTTGCGTTGCACCCAGCTACAGGCATTATGAATTGAGTAGATGGGTTTGAGGCAAACCTGCTTTATGTGATGTGTGATTCATTAATCACTCTCATGCTCATGGATTGAGTAGACAAGGCAAACATTAAATTCAAATAAGCTATAAGAAGTGACTAAATTCAAATGTAATGGATGGTAACAGAGAAAATCAGAATTCCCATAATTGTGTAGTCGTGGATGTATAATCAGAATTCAGAAATATAAGAAGCAAAAAGACTATATACACATAATTTAAGAAAATTTCAACCTTTGTAAATGTTGTTGGAAGTGATGGTTAATGATAAGATGCAGAGAGAATCATTGGCATCTCCTTCCTTCTTCTACTTCTTCTTACCCTTCCCCTTTCTCTCTCTCTCTCTCTCTCTCTGACATATTTTTGCTAATCCGAAGAACAGATCCATGAATCTACCATACCTTCACCCCTGGAAGAAACATTCTCCGGTCCCTTGTCCACATGGAAATCTGACGACGACGTGGTGTAGTTGATCTTGCAGCTATTTACCCTCTGTGAATTACCGTAATTCACATTAAAGGACTTCAAATGAGCTTGATGATCTCCATCATTCAGTCCTACCCCAGCTCCCCAGCCTGAAGGGTTATTGTCGCTCCTCAGTGACATCCCATCAGAAGTTACGAGATTGGATAGCCCGCTAAGTTGTGGGTTTCCATGCGCATGACCCATGCCAAAATCCTCTAGCACCATGCCCATTTTAAGTTGTTGTGAATCCGTCGACGGACTGGATAACGACCCTTGTTGAGATTTCTCGCCGAAAACATTCGCTAATGGGTACTTGGGTTGCTGAAGAGGAGATGGTTGCAGGAGAGACTGGAATGTAAGAACTGGATTCTGCTGATGAATGTTCAGTATGCTTTGAGATTGTTTCGGAAGGCCCAAATCAGGAAGTAGTTGGTAGTTATTTGTAGAAGTTGAATTTGAAGTATTATTAGTAGTGGCGAGGGCAATGGTGGTTGTAGTGGTGGCGGTGACGGTGGCTGTGGAAGGGTTAGTGGCAGTAGTGGTCTTGCCAATATTAGAACTAGAAGCAATAGCATCGATCAAACTAGAAGAGAACGATGACGAAACAGAAGCAGCAGCAGCAGAAGATAAAAATGAGGGTGGCTGAACCTTTTGAGCAAAAGGCCGTAGAAGGTACGGCGGTGGTGGTGGATCCAAATGGGCGGACCTCAAGGTGGACGCAGTGTTAAAGAGATCGAGTCGGCTTCGAGGGAAGGGTGATGCTGAGAAAGGGGGTGCCGGGATCCCTGTGAACTCTTGCACCATCGCGCGGAAATTCGATGTGTCGGTGGTCAGAACAGTTGTGGGTGCCCTTCGAGAAGCTCTTGATCTCTTCTTCGAACTTCGAACTACGTTGGATTGATCCGATGGAGGTGGAGCTGAAGGCCGTGCACTATTTTCCGAGACTGTTGGCAATGGCTTGGACGATGAGCTTGGCAAAGAGCCCCGACTAGGCCTTTGAGCACCGGAGATCTGATGGCTCGAAGATGAGGATCCCATTATCCTACCGATTTCGGTGCAACTGGGTTCAGATCTTAGGCTTCTAGGCCACATCATGTCAAGATGCGGCTGTGAATTTGCATTTGAAGTCGACGGTGGTCGAGAGAAGGCATCCAGATAATTTGATAGAGGATCAAACAAAGACGAAGGCGAGGAGGAGGGAAGATTGAGATGGTGTGGGTTGGAGGCAGGAGTTGGTAGGTTTGGGTTAGACATGACGTTACCATGACCGACGTGGCCGGAAGAATTCAAGATAGCGGAGATCGACTCAGACCGAGAATCGTACTCTTCATCACCGCCGCTTGATGATTGCATACTACTACTGTTACCAGAATCCATAGCTCTAGAGGGTACAAGGGTATGAGAGTCGAGAGATCAAAGAAGGAACAATAAAAAAGCGAGAAGGAAATGGCAGACAGACAAAGGTTGAGCGTGTGAAGAGACAGGCTATGTGTATCTCAGGGGCAGCTGCAGAGGGATTTTCTCACTTACAATCCCAATTAAGTGAATCCTGCGAAAGAACCCATGAATTAAATGGAGGGAGGTTTTCTAGAATAGCTTTCAGAAAGTACCCGTCTCTTTAAAGCTCTGATCCACAATGGAGACAGACCTTTCTTTTTCTTTCCTTTGCCTGCCTCTTCGAAGTCGACCAGGAGAGTTGAGCGGCAAAAAGAGAGAGAGAGAGAGAGAAACAACCCAGCGATCTTAATCTAGCAGAGGAGGAGAACACCGAGGAAACAAAAAAAAGCGTCTGGAGATAAGAGTTAGACAGAAGTTTTTCCTGTTCCTTTCTGTTTCACTTTCATGGACTGGGTTCAATTTAGGGTTTTGGATAGAAAAGGAGAGGAAGAGAGGAGGAGTTCTCTAATTCTAAAAGAGAGGCGTCTTCTACTCACGTTTCCACTTAAAAAAGATCGTCTACAGATTGTAGAGTGGGGTCGCCATTTGAGAGAGATAAAGAGGGAGAGATAGAGAGCTGCTGTTGGTGGCAAGTGGCAACTGGTCAAAGAGAGAGAGAGAGAGAGAGAGAGGTCGTAGGTGTGAAAATAAGAAAGAGAAGTATGTAAGATTAACTGGTTAACGTGAACAAACGAGAAATAGAGAAAAGTTGGGGGATAAAAAAGGGAGTAAAAGTAAGAGAAAAAGGATGAGGTGAGCAAGCAACTAAAGTAGGGGCCGGAAGGTGGTTGTTGAAAGACAGGAAGGGAGGAGAGCCACCATCATCAGTCAGTCCATCACTGCCACCGCCACCACCACCATCTTCACTGTTAGAAATTGGAAAGCCTCCCCTTGCACATGCCACCACATCGACGCAGAGAGATGCACACCAGGCTGAAACAGTTCCTGTGACACTATTGTTAAGAATTACAGCTTTTTTCCCTTCCTTTTCAACTGATTGATGGGTTCTCTTAGTCGAGCCTTGTAATAACACCCCATCAATATTAAATACATAAATAAGTAATGGAAGAAAATTCTCTACCACAATCTTTGACCAAGTCAGAGTCCCTGAAAAAAAAAATCAGTCGAAATATATGGAAGCCATTATTATTGATAAACACGTACCAGAGAATCTTTTGCTTTCTTCCTTGCCCCTGATGGGTTCTCTTAATATTTTTTTTCCCACTGCTACTGATTTTTAAGACTATTAAATAAAAATTTAACGATCATGAATACCAAAGAATGCAGCTCACATTCATCTTTCTATTTTGTGTGTTTAATCTTTGGATGGTCATCGACAGGATTGCGCCCTCCTTATAAATGTGTACTTTTATTATTCTAGGCTTAAGTGGGTACTTCACCACCAGTCTACTACAATTCTTCAATGACAAGAAAGAAAGATTTTGATTGCTTGGATAGATGGATCGGTTCAACCATACTCCAGTTCGCTGCAACCATCCACACCAGAAACTAGCATAAACCAATTCTTTTCTTTAGTGGGTCCTTGTGCAGATGAGCCAAAGTTTAAAAAAAAAAAATACTGTGAAGGGGATTTTTGTGTTGTACACAGAGAGATTTGAGAGTAACTCATCAATGATCAATGGAATATATAAATGTGTGTGTGTCGCGTAGATAAAGGATAGCTGTCCTTGTCACTCAATACGTGTTATATTCTTTATATCTATGGCCAGTATTTAATATACCTCCAGTTTAATTTTAGACCCTACGAGAGAGAAGGGAGAGAGGGTCGAGGGTCGGGTCCTAAGTTCCACGTTGAGATCCCTATTTTCACGTCTCCCAAGTCCACACGGAATGTTAAAAAAGAAACAAAAGAAAGGCTGTGACGCGCACGCACTCTTTACCTCTGTCTGTCCCATATATATTTACTACTCTCCCTCTGGAAAGGGTTTACACTTGCAGTTTACAGATTGCTTGGGGAGATGGGTTTCCATGCACGGTCGTTTAGTGATGATTCCACCGTCGATCAGGCTTTTGTAGGGTTGCCAAGTGTCAAATCTTGCCTAAAATAATTTTGAGTTGGGATATTTATATTATATAGATCGGTTTTGTAGATCGAGATCGATCGGTCGGGTCAAGAATTGTGATTCTTTAGTTTGGAGTTTGGACACTGGAGTGAGGACCATGGATTTGTCTCCAGATGCTGTTTGTTGTGATGGTTGTTTAACAAATAAAAACAGCCAGACACGCCAAAACCCATAAAATTAAGTGGGGATGGGAGATGCAACAAATAGAATATGTATATATATCTATAGAGTGGAGTGTACCAGAAAGGATTGAAGCTTTCAATTAGAGGGCTTTAATTAAAAGAGTGGCAATAACTATTAACTACTACTACTAGGAAGTAACATCAGTTTCTAACTTCCAAATCTAGACTTTATCAGGGGTAAGCAATGGATATGGATCTGATCAATGTTCCCCAATCCATAATCCAACATGGAATCGAGTTAGGCCAACAGTATCCATTATCCAGCTCCCTGATTTTACAAAATATATTTGGCCACGGGCAATAGGAATGGCCAACTTGGTAGTGGGTCGATCTGGGTTGGTGTTAACCCAAGAAATTAAAGAGAAAGGGAGAGATGCAATACACATGCAGGATGTCAGGAGCCCATATTCTCTGGGTATCAATTGTGAGAAACCTATTGAAAAGCTAGTCCTGGGTGGATTGAAAAGGAAGGCTGCTCAGTTGTACCAACTAATAAGTGTATATTATTGGATATATATGAGCTATCATCCATCTAACAAGGTGTTGATCTGAATAATGGAAACCATCCACCGTGCATCCACCTTTCTTAAATTCCCACTCCATGATTGATTCCCATGTATTTGTTCGCGATTTATATAGCAAATCCGTTTTTATTAAATAACGTTTCTAATTGCATATATAATAAGTCAAGAAAAAATTAAAAAAAAAAAAAAGAACAACCAAGTGTGCAGAGGCTCCCACCAATGTGAGGTATGGGAAGGGACATATGTATGCAATCTTAACCTCTTGTTAGGGCTGCAAATAAGTCGGATCAGATCTGATTCAAATCCGAATATGATCAAATAACATTCAAATTCGGATACCTTCATTCATCCTAATAAATCGGATCGAATTTGTTAGAAAAGTCGATCCATTTAGTTAACAGATCGACTTTGGATAGACCCCGATTCGATTCACCATGACTAGATCTGATCCGTTAATTATAAAATATTATATGTTATATATTATAATAAATTATTATATTATCTAAATAATATAATATATTATTTATATTATATCATAAAACTTTTATAACAATTCTAATTGGATCATGTTCGAACCAGATATCCGAATTCGAATCATGTTCTTGAAGCCCAATGGGTTCTTGTCGGAATCAGATTGATCGGATTTCTTATTGGATCGGATTGGATATACCATTTACTAAATTCGATCTGATCCATTTGCAACCCTACCTGTTGTCTACCTGTAGATATACAGAGATGTTGTTTTCAAGATTTAAACCCTAATCACCTTAGTCACAATGGATCAACACAATCGTTGCACCAAGATTTAAACCCTGCCCACCAACCCACTTGCAGATATACAAGGAGGTTGTTTTCAAGATTTAAACCCTGATCACCCAAGTCGCAATGGAGCAACTTAACCATTGCACCAAGGCCCACCCTCTAAATTGTTTAAAAATATGTTCAATTATATTCTTACATATATTATAAAAATTCATTTAGAAATAAAGCATATCGATTTTTTTACTTTAAATTTTTACATAACTAACATATCAAACAAAAAAATGTGCATTTTGTAAAGCTTTTACCATAATGTTTATTTGACCAACCATTTTGTCATATTCCTTTTTTTATGACACTTAGGCCATGTTTGATTCACTGCTCTGACCCTCATTCTCTTAATTTTTGTTTATTGTTTTGGGTAATAATGGACAATAACGAATAACATTAGAGTGTTTGGTTATAAAATTCTTATCTTGAACTTTATTCTGAAAAAAAAATCAATTTTCAAGAAAAAAGGTATTTAATTCATAATAATATTTTCTCATTCTACCCGTGTTTACATATTCTTGTTCATTTTAAAATTTCATCTTGCACAAAAAAAAAAGAAAGTAAAACCAAACAAAAAAAAAAAAATTTCTCACCATATCAGCCATTCAGAAGAAGGGAATTGAGGAAACTGGTTTCATGTACAAAAGTGTCCCTGAAGCCTGATTAATTGTTTCCTTTTTTCGAGCAGAAACCTAGCAAACGGCTCCATGGCATGGCAGACAGCCAACCCTCTACATTTTATTGATAAGTGATAACAAAGATAAATAGGTAGGCAGTGCAAGCAAGGCAAAGGATTTGCCCCTGGAGAGAAAAAGCAAAGTGGAAAAATAAGGTCTACATCAGAATCCCAACTTTATACGTTAATGAAACTTTACTCCTTTGGCAGAAACACCCTTGGGTTGGCTTTTCTTGTTTTGTGCTATAAACGCCGGCAAGGTATAGGGCTATCATTTTTCTTTTTTGCCTTCCATGAATTTAAGCCTATCCCTAATCCCTCACTCTACTTATTAATGCATGTCTTCTCACTGTGAAGAGGGGCACTCCAGCATTAAAGGCCCGAGCCCAGTAATTGACGATAGAATTTTGATAAGAACCCACTGACAAGATGGGGCTTTCACCATTAGATTGGTTTCAGATGGGCATGGGTGTTAAGTGGATAGTACTGGATACCAATCTGAAATCCCATTTTTACCCCTCATGCATGCATGTGAGGGCTTTGTTATCTGACTGTCAAATAACTAGGTTAGGTCATAATCCATAGATAATAGTCAACCATAAATGGACAACTTACATGGGGCAGAGGGATGCACAGAGCAGAAATCATATTTTATTAATCCATTGAAAATATCGGAAGAAAAGAAAGAGATTTTTAATATGGTTTTCATCTTCATGAACAAACAAGGTTTAGTCTTTTCTATTTTTTTCATCTATTTATGATAGCTAAATTTTAAATCATAAGCTCCAAAAAATATATTGTTGTTGGTATTTCATGTATAAAAATGAAAGTGACAATGAACCAGTGACTGACTACATGTTCATGGTCATCATGGACCCAATTGCTTCCTGAATCCATTTTATATATCTTCTATACAATGAGAATCAACAAGGAATAAGGAACTCTTCTCATGGTACGTAGACAAGAGGATTCGAACTCGAATAAGTTGCTACCTTCCAACTATCATTATGGAACAATTTCTTTTTCTCCTCTTGGCCTCTACTTATTCTCCGACCATATTCTTTACTTTCGTCTTAGAGTTCCAAAACAGCTCGAAAGACTAGTACGAATGAAATCAAAATTTTGCTTTTAGCCCTTTTGGTTGGAAAACGTTCACCTCTATCACCAAAAGAAGAGAAAAGAAAACCCAACAAAAAACAAATAAAGTAATAAAAATAGACACACACACAAAAGAGATTAATTACTGATAAAGATGGCAATGGGTGAGGTTAGAAAGTGACCAACCCGATAATCAAGGGAATCAGTGTGTGAGGTTATTTTATTTAGTGAGATTTCCAGATCATGATCATTCGCCAAACCAAAGTAACTCTCTTCTTCTTGAGCTCTTCTTCTTCTTTTAATCTATATATATATATATATATATATATATATATATATATCCTCTGATGAAAACAGAATGATGATTTCCTGGTTCAAATTCTGATGATTATAGACTGAATTAATTCTCCAGATTTGGATCATGAAAACCATGAACCACAGAACTGCAGCTATCCGAAAATCCATACATGATCGAAGCGTTTTTGCCAATATGCCGGTAAATAAATGGACCCATGTGAGCCAAACTTGGAAAGTGACCCAGATTGAATTTTCTTAATCCAGGCATACCTAACCCCATTAGACTCCATTATGGGTTTTTATCTTTTCGATTCTCTTTTGTACGAGGGGATTATTTTTCTCTTTTCTTTTGATGTAAAAGGGATCTTCTAAATTCAAGAAAAATAA